AAAGGCACATTGCGTTCGGCATCGATTCATCTGAGTAGAAACCAGATGAAACAAAGCTAGTTGAAGCAAGAAAGGCAAAGACATACGGAGGCATACACACACACACCGAGACATACCGAGACAAACTGATTCTGGTGCCACAGGCTCTGATGGACAAGAGCTGAAAATCTCATTCTCCCAGTATTTGGCCTCGTTCTCAGATCGCTGCACCCTTTGCAAGGTTCAGAGACTTGTTGAAGGCACTTTGTCCACATCACAGTCCAAAAACGTCAAAAATGTCAGAAACACGTGAAACATGCAAAGGATCGGTCAAGCATGCCCAGCAAGTCACGAAAATGCAAGCAAGATGAATCAAAAAGCACCCTATCAATCTTTTACAGAAAACAAACTCCTGAAAAAGCAGCCTCCAGAAAGTGCGCAATCATGGTTGCCTTGACAAGGTTTGGAAGTCATGCGATCGTTTTGCGGAGAGATCCACAACAACACACAAAAGCAAATGAGAATCTAGACCCACAAGAAAACATGAACCGAAGCAAATTTGACCCATCTTCTCAATAGGAGCTTTTTTTGGGCAAAGAAGTGTCCTGGGTGATCATGATGATGTAAGCGAGTGGAGCCGACACTTAACCCCTATAGAATGGGCTAACGCCCGGGTGCCGCCGACCCTCCTTTGAAGCCCCAACAAGACATTGCGTAAGGGTTGGAAGGCTCGCAAGCGGCAGCCTTGAAGCGTCAACAAGACAGTGTGGAGGGCCGCTTCGGAGCGTCTAGGGTTTGAAGGCTAGCAAACGGCGGTCTCGAAGCTTCAACAAGACAGCGTGTAGAGCCGCTGCAGAGGGTTTAACGGTTTGAATGAAGGTTTGAAGGCTGGCAAACGGCACTCTTGAACCCCCAACAACAGACTGTGTAGGGCCGCTGCGGACGATTGACGCATCTAAAGGCCGGCAAACGGCGTAACGCCCCAACAACGGAGTGTGTAAGGCCGCTGCGGGGGGCTGACGCGTTTGAAGGCTGGCAACCGGCAGTCTTGAGTAGAAGCCTCAACAAAACACTGTGCAGGGCCGCTGCGGAGCGTTTAGGGGTTTGAAGGTTGGCAAACGGCACTCTTGCCAGCCTTCAAACCCCTAAATAGTCCGCAGCGGCCCTACACGCTATCCTGTTGGGGCTTCAAGACTGCCGGTTGCCAGCCTTCAAACGCGTCAACCCTCCGCAGCGGCCCTACACGAGCCTTCAAGCCCCTAAACGCTCCGCAGCGGCCCTACACAGTGTCTTGTTGAGGCTTCAAGGCTGCCGTTTGCGGAGAAACCCTCTGCAGCGGCCCTAGTTACGCCATTTGCCGGCCTTCAAACATGTCAACCGTCCGCAGCGGCCCTACACAGTCTGTTGTTGGGGGTTCAAGAATGCCGTTTGCCAGCCTTCAAACTTGTATTCAAACCGTTGAACCCTCCGCAGCGGCCCTACACACTGTCTTGTTGAGGCTTCAAGACTGCCGTTTGCCACCTTACGCAATGTCTTGTTGGGGCTTCAACCAACAAGACACTGTGTAGGGCCGCTGCGGAGAGTTTTGGCGTTAAGGCTCGCAAACGGCAGTCTTGAACCCGCAACAAGCATGGCAATGGCAGCGCAAGCGTCCACACGCTGCTGCGGACGGTTTAATGAGCTGGAGGGGTGGCAAACGGCAGGCTTGAACCCCGAACGAGCCGCGTGAAGGGACTTGGTGGCCCACGCTCCGCTGCGTTGCCGAAAACGTTTTAACATCTGTTGTAGCTGAAAGCGACATCTGCCAGGGAACGCAATACCCGGGATCCACACCAAAGTTGGCCCCAGGCGAGGCCCTGCCTCAGCCACGGCTAGGGCAGGGTCGGCGGATAAACAGGATCCACACCAAAGTTGGCCCCAGGCGAGGCCCTGCCTCAGCCACGGCCCGGGCAGGGTCGGCGGATAAACAGTACGGGGTCCACATGATCAGGGTTTGGGGTAGGGTTCCTTCCAAATTTCAAGCGGGGTTTACAGCACGTTCAATAGATATGAAAAAGCATTCACAAACAACCGAGCATGATCAACAACAAGAACTATGACAGGAAAAATGGTACACATTTGATTCTTGTTCATGCCGGCCAGTTTTAACCCACATTTCGTTGACAGCATTGGGTGCAATTTTGCAATGAGCCAAAAAATGAATTCGCTGCAGGTCCATGATTCCATTCGTCATTTTGACTGGTTGATCCAACATACGTTTCTGGAGCTTTCGTTTTGAACTTTGATTGGAGAAAACCCGAGTACCAACATGTGAAATGTATTAAAATGTGTGATGCACAGTAGCTTATCCAATAATGACGCTGGCAGATTTTGAATTGAAATGACTGATAATAAAAATGGTGTTCAGGAACAAGGAAGCGGTTAGTTAGTTTCGATTTTTTGCTGCCCAAAATGCAGCGGCCAATGTTCACAAGGCAAGTGATTACAAAAAAAATGGTCCTTTGCAGCACCATAGTGCAATAAATTTCCATGTTTTCTCATCAGCAACCCCACATATTTGGAACTTGGAGGAAATGCCCAAACAGATCAAGCGACATTTCTCTTGGCCCATAATGGGACAAGTCGACGCAGTTGGTTCCAATTTGTGTTGTCCAAATTGTTTTGTGCCAGTACTACAGCGGGTTGAGCTTTAAAAGCGTTTCGCAATGCGGGGACGAAAATGTTGAAGCCAGATGACAGGCGACCCAGTTTTTTCAAAGTGCCTGATTCTCTCATGTATCCAAACATGCAGCGACAACACATTGGAAAATGAGTTTTTTAATCCAAATACATTGCATGTGTTTTGAAGATGACCCCCCCCATATTATTTCCTGTCCTGGCCGGACAAAGCAAGTAGTGTCAAATAACCCCGTTGTTTTACTTGCCAAAAGCTTCCAAAACATTAGAAAGTCAGAAGCGCATGGCACGAGACAAATGTAAGGAGTTTCCATGCCCCTTAATTTTGCCAAGCAAATTGCCGACTGTAGGCCCAAACCCTGAAAGGCACATCAGGTTTTGCCAAGCATGATGCGACTTTGTTGCAGTTTCTTTTCAGAGTACCAGTTCTCCTCCAAAGAGAGTCGTTCTCCACTATGTTGAATACTGGTTTACTCTACGTATACATATTAGTTTTCCTCGGCCACATCCTCAAAAAAAACACTAAGAAATGAAAAACTTTCTCGCGTTTCCTCTACGAATACTGTTTCTCCGCCAAAAAATCGTATACTTTTTCATTTTTATTTTTTTTCAGTTCTGACAAAATCAATCAGACGTTGGTACCTTTTCTATATCCAAAAGGAGTTTTCCTCTATAGGGTCAGAAAATCAAGACGGCCCAGATTTTTTCAAAACTGTTCAATGGCTTCATTGTCTTGCAAAAACACACCTGGACTAGATTATAATAGAGCAGATAGATTAGAAAGGTTAAATAGATTTTGGTTAGATTAGACTAGACTAGATTAGGTTAGATAGTTGGCTTGCTCAATTTCAGTTGGACTAGTTGTAGGCGCGAGCCAATGCCAGACTGAGCAAACTGCCGGGGCCTTGGCAAATCCAATTGTCAATGCATGTGTGTGTTCAACGCATTTCAGCACATATGGCATGTTTGAATGTCGTGTGTGCATGTGTGTGTGTGCGTGTGCGTGTTGATATATGCCAGAAAAGCTGCTCAAAATGCGGGCAGCGGTTCATTTCTGCAGTGTTAGGCCTATGCTCCACTGAACTACGCAATACGCAATTTTTGACACATAGCTCTTCACTTCTGTCACACATCGCAGTGCAACAGGCGATGGCAAGACAAGAAGGTGACAAATCCTGCCAAGAAATGAGCTTTGAATATCTCTGAGTTGTATGCAGCATCTTTGAGTTGCACAGCGTCTCACAGCGGTGCATGCAAAGTCAACGCCTGGCACAGGGCTCAATGAAAGCCCTGCCATGAAGACAAAAGGTTATGGGGGAATTGTGTGTTTTCAAGACTGCAAGCCCACTTCATTGGCGTTTGTATCTATTTGAGGTTTGCTTCACGCATTATGACAGATGCCTTTGCTCAAATGGCAAAGATTCACGCCAATTGGCGACGCTCCAATAAAACATGTTTTGCAAGCATGATATAGAAGACGATGATATTCACGGAGAATCCGTGTGCATTCCATGTCCTAAAAAGTTCACATGAGAGCCATTCACTTGGCATAAGGATCCTTTGAAGGAGCTTGGAATGGGCAACCTGCGCAACACTTCCTAAAGCAAAGTCACCGAAGTTGGCAGTACAGATGGAGACCTGAGACGTCCTGAGACACATGCTGCTCTTTTTAGTGCGTGGGAGTGCATAATTCTAGAAATTCTAGATACCCCAAAAGGAAAGAGACTAACCTCTAAACCTGTCAAGTAGATTCGATAGGAACCAGATTGCAACGGAGCTGAAGCCAAGTAGTTCTGCTTTCTGCTGTGAAAAGTCTGAGGGTGATCAGGAATTGTTTTTGCATTTTGCATGACCGAGCCAAGTTACCTTCAAATATGCGAGGTGCCTATCACATTTAGATCACCTTCAGCCAGCAGCGGTTATAAGCAGAGAGATACAAAAAGCGGCCGGTGACCAGAGTTTCCAAGAACAAACGCAGAAAGTCAGGCAGGGTTGCTTGCTGCAATGTGTTTTTCCCGTTGAATTGAACGGGCATCCTTCAAGAATATCCAAACAAACCTCCTGCACTTTCTTTGAAATCCTCGCAAGCCATTTTTTTGGCATATATGAGCGTGGCTGACGTGCTTGTTTTCCTGCTCCAGATTGCAGTGAGCATGCAATCGTTGCCAAATGGTTTGACCATTACGATATCACGATGGAAGTAGACACATTGACTTAGCTTCATTCCGTCCCTTCAAAAAAGCTGCAGCAGGAAACCCGTGTATTTGATGCTTATTGCTCAGACTTTGACCTTCTAGTTGATCAAGCTATTGCTTCCTATTCTACGTTCCACCTGAAGCCAAGCTATGGCGGAAGCCGACCCTCTTTCGGTTGCTATGACGCGTTTTGGCTATCCGGCAGGGTGGCTTGGATGGATAAGCAGTGTAGAGCCTTTGTGGCACGTGACCTGTCAATTGGCGTTGCTCTTTGCAATACTGTTTATGGCAAGTTTGCAACCTCTCAGCTAAATAAATTCGAAACCAGAGCAGTATTGAGAATGAATTTAATGATGAGAGGGAGCTGAGCAAAGGCTGTCAAGTCGGTTTCGGGTTTTGCTGGAACAGGATCAAAGTTCTGCACGTTCGTTTGGTGTAATCTATTCACAACCGCTTTACCTGCTGCCTCTTTGGCAGGCAGCTTCCAGCGCCCACCGCCATTTATGCACGGAGAGAAGCCTTGATTGCGGAAATTCGCAACAAGCTCGTAGAAGGCACTTGGACCGGGAACACAGAAATTATATTTCTATGGCTTTACACATTGGTTTAAACAATTCATGGCATTTGATTTGCACTTGCGTCTGGTTGCAGCGCAGTGCATTGCATTGCATTGAATTGCATACATTCATGATAAGGGCACATAAGGTGCAAAAGACGCATAAGATGCATAGGATACCTGAAATAGGATTTAATACCCAACATATCCCAAGATGCACAAGGTGCTCAAAATACATGAAATTGATCATGTATATATTTTTAAATACACACATTTTAATCGCATACATGACATAGGTGCCGCATGGGATAAATGGCGTACATAAGGTACATGACATACAAAACACGCGTAGGATGCAAAGGATGCACAACGTACGTAACATCCAAGCATACATAGCATACCTAACATACAAACACACATAGCAACCATAATTTACAAAACACATAGCATGCATAACTTACAAACAACATGGAGACAACATGGAGACAACATGCATAACATGTATATGTTTTAATCCTGCACAACACATATAACATTGTTTAACCTACCTAACATAGATGCCATGGGTCACATGCATAACATACATAACATACAGCACACACACAGCATGCAAGCTACGCACGTGTATATATATATATATATAAACTTACGATGGGTGTATGTATAGGTTTATACATGTATACATATACATATGAATGAATACATAGCATGCAGGCATTTAGATTCCAATTCATGTTTTGGGCATATGTTCGAGCCGGTTCTTCTGCTTTTTGTGGCCTTTTCTTAGAAACGTCCATAAGTGATGATACCGAATGCGAATGCAATCTGTGAAATCATTTGTACTCTGCAACGCGGTTTTCATTTTCTACACTTGGATTGTCTTTGGAGCAGGCTCTTCCTGCCCAATGCCCCGCAACTTGAGGCGAGGTAGCCCTCCAACAGCAGCTCTCGCGTCAGCAAGAGCAGCTGGAAGCGCTTCAAAAACAGCACCTGCAGCATCAAAGATTTGGCAACATAATTTTGTCGAAATTCTTCACGTTTTGAATATTTGGAGATGCTGCGATTGCAGATCGAGGACATTGAGGACATTGAGGAATGACAGTGTCCATTCTTCGAAGTCTGCAGGCAAAATGCGCGTTTCAGGCTTGCCCTGGATTGTCAGGCGGGGCCAGAGTCGAAGTCAAAACAGACAGGTTGACGCAGGGGCTGTGATGATTTCTGAGCTTTACTGTACTTACTGTACTACGCTATAAACATGCTTTGGGCTACTAGACTTTCTTTACTACTATACTTTGCCATATGATGCTGTTGTTTTGAGAAACGATATTTGGCTGTGCTCTACCTTACTGTTCTTAACTTCACTATTCTATGTTATATTTCACGGTCGTTTTGATGACTGTATGGGATCATACTTTAACATATATTTTTTTTTACTATTTGTATACACACACATATATTGTATATATATATATTCATGTATTGTATTTTTTTACATATATATACATATATATATATATCCTGTCCTTTACTCATAGGCGATTTTGATGTGCACAGGCATTGTGCATATGAATTGCGCAACCTGCTTTTGTTTCTGCGCTGGTGTAGGTGAAGGCAGATGAATACAGCTTGAGCAAACGACATAATGAGCAGCTCATGCAATTGCAGCAGAGGGCCCAAGCAAGGCGAGCGCAGCTGGAGCAGCAGGCTGGACAACGCAAGCGCAGATGAAAAGAATGTGTTTCCAACCAGAGAATGAAGGAGAGCATTGCTTACATAGCCGGAATGATGATGTTGAAAGCTGTTCTTAACATACGTCATGTGGGCCTAGGCAAGCCCCACATGATAAAAATTGAAGCTTTAACGCAGCCCTTCACCTACGCATAGTTGATATATCTGAGGCTACCAGCTTGGTCCTGGAATTCCAGCAGCGACTCTGGACATGCAACTCTAGCAGACTCCAATATGCAACGACACAAAACATAGGGATAGACTCTCGGGATCTGAAGGTGTCACAGACATGGCAAGTTTCAAGAAAACGTGGAGTGGAAAGATGATGTAGATGCATTTTCTTCTTCAGTTCACAACCACTTTCAGGAAAGCTTCAAGAGGAGTTCTTGCTGCAGCAGAAGGAGATTCAGAGACAGCACGAGCAAGAACAAAGCAGGAGATTCAGCTCAGCCGTTTCTTTTGCCAAGTTCCCTTCTGTCACAAAGCGTCGCAAGATGCAGGGTCTTGGTGAACGGGGGCCCAAACAAAGTGGTGTGGCGAAGTGCCCTGACAGTCCTGTGAATGAAGTCTTTTAGGAGTAAAACAAGTATGATGCCATCAAGCTTTTTCATCACGCTGGCTTAAACAACAAACCTTTTCTCGCTCCTTTGTGTCACTTTTTGAACTCTTTGGTTTGTTAACAGCTGCCGTATTCAACATGTTCCAATCCTTTCGGCACCGGGAGGCTGGCAAAGGAGCTGCAAAAATTGGGAACTTCAGGTGCTTATTTGGTGTCGGCGACACGTCAGCAGTTTTGTCTTGTTGGGCATGCATGTCAATATTGATGGTGGGCTGAACGAAATGAAATCTGGAAAAGGGTACAGCTGAATGTAATGGCAGTCCCCTGACATTACCAATGCTGCAATACGAACCCGGGTACTTAAACAGTCATGCAATTCTGCGGGCCCGGCTGCTGCGGACAGGAGCAGAGCCACTGGAATCTTTGCTGAATCCTTCATTGCGGTGGAGCCACGAAAAAGAGCTGCTACTGGGTTGGATATGTCATGCTAATGTATGCGGCAAGTACACAAGCACTTCGATACCCAGACGCAGGCAGTTTCAGCGGTCTCAAGGCTGACAAGGCATGTAGACTTATGTGGCATACTATCCACCTATCATTTTTGATAGTGAGGCCACGCAGTTTGAGCCATCGACCGTCGCATTTGGAGGTGCATATTGCGGAAACGCAATGAAAACACCAGGATCATTCACGTATATGTCAACATGTGCAAATAGATCCTTTGCTGGTCAACCAATGAACCGCGGAAGGCTTTTTCTCTCAGTCCTGCTGGTCGGACGAATTCTTTTCAGGCAGGGCTGTAAATTCCACCAGCGGGCTGTTTGAAGATGGCTCCTGATCCAAAGACAATAATAAAATGGTCAAAGAAGAGATGCCTGCAAATTTCTCAACACCGAGATATATCCTCAATTCCGGTTCATGATGCGTCATTCCAATTCCAATTTGTGCAGGTTGGTCAGATGAACATTGCACATGCTCAACGACCCGGAAGTCACCCAGATGCAAAAAGGTCAATCAGGGAAAGAAGAATTTAAAAGGATGGTTCTTTATCACGCAGAAAAATTATGCAGAAAAAAAAAAATATATATATATAGGTAGACAGAAAAAGAAAAATGTTGGTGAAAACAAGAATTCCATTTGGATCCTTGCTAAGGTATGCAATTGCCAATGAACCGTTCATCATCTTGGGCTGGTCACGATCTGGTGCCAGCAGTGAATGGACAAAAATTGAAAGGAATTATAAACAATCATTTGACACTGAGTGCCTATATTATGGTCAATCACCAAATAAAATTATATTAGTTTCAAAATAACAAATAAGTATATACTTATTTAAAAGAATATTTTTATATATCATAAATTTAAAAAAATAAATGTCTTATTTCTAATATTTATTATTTATATGTAAAAGGTTAATATGTCTTTTATATTTATTTAATTAAAAATAATGATATGTATATATATATACATATATATATAATAGATACTAAAATATGTGTACATAAGGTTATTATGGATATATATGATTTTAAAATATATTTATTTATTTATTTATTTTATTTATATTGTATTACTTATTGTTATTTTAATTTTGAAATTATTAAATATACAGATATAGATGGTTCCCCCCTGAGATCCACCCGGCTGACACCACGATCTCCAGGGTGGCCAGGGAGATGCAGAAGCGGATGCTCTGCGTGCACAACATCTCGAGGGTGAAAGCATTGCAGTTCCAGCTCACCACCTCCCAGAAGAAGCGCAAGCTTAGCGATGGCCTTTTCATCGAGGACGGCGAGGACGAAGAAGTTGTGGCCCATGATGTGGACAATTACCTCGACCGGCTGTTCACTTTGTTGCTGGCCTATGCCATGGCTGGTTGCGCCGGGGTGACCGGTGCGCCCGATGCGGCGCAAGAGCTGAACCTGGGGGCAGACACCACCAAGTTCGTGAACGTGCCGCTGGATATGATCTACAAGTATTACTTCCGAGCCAAGCGCAGCATCACAGCGATGCCCATGGCCCAACGCCTGCAGTGGCTCCAGACACGCGACGTGAATGTCCCACTGACAAAGGCGTTTATCAGCTGTGGATGGAGATGCCTTACCGTGGATTGGGTGCTGGATCCTAGCCATGATCTGGCCGATGAGCGAAGACAGCAATCGCTCAGTCAACTGATCTTCATCGCTGCGGCCATTGACTGCTCCACCAAGAGAAGATGGACGCCCTGCACCAGCACCGCTACGCTCAGAGGTGTACCCTGATGGGCTGCCCACTCTGTCAGGTCGCTATGCTCAACGAGTTGACACTGACAACAAGGCCTGCAATTATGTGCTCGAGGAGATCCAGAAGCTGCGAGACCGTGGAGGAGGCAGCGTCCGGGAGAACCCAGCCCGCTCACTTCATTGGTGGACATCTACTGAGGTGGCGATGTCGGAGTCTGTGCAATGGACGGACACCTCACACGCCGCATGCACGTTGGGTGGTGCACGTTGCAAGCATCAAGCGCTCCGACATAATCTGGAGGAGATCCAGCAATGGCCCCCGGCCAATTGTCACCATGTGCATGACCCACAGGAGTGGACCCCCGACACCAGCAGTGGCAAGCGAGCGTACCCATCCAAGGAGGAGGTGGAATACACAGCCGTGCTGGCGTTTGCCATCGCAGTGTCAGCCAGCTGTCAGAAAGGGCCTGGCCACTTTGCAAGTGCCGGGGATGCCGGCGTTCATCGCAGTGGGGCGCCGCGAGCATTGACTCGACATGGACCCTCGGGTTATGAGGGAATGGGCCATGGCACCGTTGGCAGTGACCCTTGGTTTGACGGCAGAGCTGCGGGCTAGCAGGCCGAGGTTACCGGTCCGACGGCTCACAACCGATGTGATGATTGAGAACAACGCCCTTACAGCCAAAGCAACCTACTACAAAATGGAAATCGCCTTGGGCCCCAGGCCACAACTGTGAAGCTGGTGAATGGCCCGCTTGGTACATATAGCCCACGTCAGAACATCCCCACTTTGGGACGCATTGCCAGAGTTGGCAAGGCTATCCCTTGTCTGCGACTGCCCCATGGATCAGCTCTGCGAGGCCGACCTCTTGGTTGGGCTTTACTTCGATACCGCGCCACCCGAGAGCAGCCCCACCAACCGAGGCGCCAAGGGGAAGTGGAGCCGCACAGTCGCCTTGTTACAAGGCATCCAGGCGCTGCCGAGAGGCATGGCGTTGCCAATGATGAGCTTGGTGTTGGCGTTCCGCATGCTGCTCCCGGAGAAATGGTTCCAGAACTTCAAGTTTGCCATGGTGGAGGACCTTGTCAACAGTCCCCCGTTCTGCTCGTACCCAGCTTGGCTTGCCGAACGTGGAGAGGCTTGGGATGGACCCTTAGTCCCCCATCTAGCGGCTGGAGCAGTTCGGCAACTTACCAGGATTGGGGATGGCTGTTAAGTGGGGGCCATGACCCACAGAGCAGCCTTGCCACCACTGTTGCCTTTCAACCTGGACCCTGATGCCCATTTTGGAAGAGCATTGCAGCGAGCGCAGCTACCAGTGCCTTATGAGGACATGCCAGTGTCAGACCTCGACCTCGAGTATGTGGCCGGTGCCTATGCAGCTTCGAGGCAAACGCGGCGAGCCTGGCGACAGCGAGCTGTGGGAGCCTTGCGTGAGCTGAAGCGGCGCTGGGAGGGGGTGACCCTCCACTTGCATGCGTTTCAGGAACCAGCAGTGCACCAAGTGACGAAACAACGAGACATCGGCGTTCTCGCTCTGTTGATGATCCTTACGTCATGGGCTGATACTGGTTTCCCCTACGGGCTGGTTCAAGGATTGCCAGCAGTAGGATACACACCCCTGTATGGAATCTTCCCCCAGCAGGCGGCCGAGAGGATTAGCATGGCAGAGGTGCTGGAGGGTCGGCAAGAGCACAACCAGCACATCTTGAACCAGCTGAAAGCGGGGAAAGACGATGCCTTCTTGTTGCAGCAAATCCATGGAGGACGCTAGGAACGGTTTTTGCACACCTCCTCTG